CAAGTTCCAACCGTTGGAATCCTTTCCGCCGTGTGGATACGTGTAGAGGATGAGGTATTCTTCCTGCCTTACGTGATCGAACGAACACATCAATTGATACAGGCCCCGGATCGATTGAGGTAAGCGTTCTAACGTTTCTACAAGATCATGCATGATAGGTTTTAGGGTTTCATCAAAATTTGTGTTTTACACCCGGTGCGCAAACCCTAGAACCGATCTCTTAGAAATTAGATTCGTTCTTGAGATCCCAGGAAACCCAACACCATCTTCATTTGGAAAGAAAAGGTATATCATTCTCTTTATCGATGATTTCAGCAGAAAAACTTGGGTGTATTTTTTGGAGCAAAAGTCAGAGGTATTTACAACTTTCAAGAATTTCAAGACGATAGTGGAGAGACAAAGTGGCTATAAAATTAAAGAGTTAAGGTCCAATCGAGGTGGAGAGTTCACTTCCAAGGAATTCAATGACTTTTGTGCATATCATGGTATTAGATGTTCATTGACATGTCCAGGAACGCCACAACAAAATGGAGTCGCTGAAGGAAGAACATGACCATCCTTAACATGGCACGAAGCATGCTGAAGACGAAGAACATGCCAAAGGAATTCTAGGCAGAAGCTGTGGCTATGGCAGTGTATTTATCAAATAGATCTCCATCCAGAAGTGTAATGGGAAAAACACCCCAAGAAGCTTGGAGCGGAAGAAAACCAGAGGTGTCACACCTCCGAGTATTTAGGAGTATTACCTATGCACGTATTCATGATGAGAAGAGATCAAAGCTTGATGATAAAAGTGAAAAATATTTATTCATCGGTTATGATCAAAACTCAAAAGGATACAAGTTGCATAACCCAAATACTGGAAAAACCATTGTGAGTCGTGATGTGGATTTTGATGAAGATGGAGAGTGGGACTGGAACACTCGCAATGAAGACTATACATTCCTTCCATACATAGAAGAACAAATGGGGAATGAGATTGAAGAACCCACAATGTCGCAAGATCCATTATCGCCATCATCATCGGATGGAAGCTCAACTGAAAGAACACCTCGATTCCGAAGCATTGAAGATCTATATGAGGCAACTGAAAGACAAGATGATCTTACTCTTTTCTGCCTTTTTGCGGACTGTGAACCTAAGAATTTTGAAGAAGCTGTACAAGATGAAAGGTGGATGAATTCCATGGATGAAGAGATCAGGGCCATTGAGAAGAATGATACATGGGATTTGACCTCACTTCCAAAAAACCACAAAGCGATCGGAGTAAAATGGGTATACAAAGCAAAGAAGAATGCCAAAGGGGAGATCGAAAGATACAAAGCAAGGCTGGTGGCAAAAGGTTACAGTCAAAGAGAAGGGATCGACTACGATGAAGTATTTGCACCTGTAGCTAGTCTTGAAACTGTAAGATTGGTCATCTCTTTAGCAGCCCAAAACAGGTGGAAGATACATCAAATGGATGTACAAGTCGGCATTTCTTAATGGGGTGCTTGAAGAAGAAGTTTATATCCAACAACCATCTGGTTATGAAGTCTGAGGGAAAGAAGACAAAGTGTTGAAATTGAAGAATGTACTATATGGATTGAAGCAAGCACCGAGGGCTTGGAATATCCGCATTGACATGTATTTTACTGAAAACAATTTTTTCAGATGTCCATACGAGCATGCCCTCTAATCAAAATTCAAGGAGGAGATATGTTGATTGTGTGCCTGTATGTGGATGATTTAATCTTCACCGGGAATAATCCGTTGTTGTTCGAGGAATTTAAGAGGCAAATGACCAAAGAATTCGAGATAACTTATATTGGGTTGATGGCGTATTATCTCGGAATCCAAATCAAGAAGGGTATGCCAATGAGATTTTGAAGAAGTTCAACATGGAGAATTGCAAGCCGATAAGTACGCCAATAGAATGTGGTGCCAAAGTATCAAGATATGAAGAGGGAGACACTGTTGATCCATCTTCAAGAGTCTGATTGGAAGTCTTCGGTACCTGACTTGCACGAGACCCGACATTCTGTTCGCAGTTGGACTTGTCAGTCGTTACATGGAGACTCCGACAACAACTCATTTGAAGATGACAAAAAGGATCCTACGATACATCAAAGGTACCATCGCTCTTGGTTTATCATACTCATCAACTAACAGTTTTGAGCTATATGGATACAATGACAGTAATTGGGCTGGAGATGTTGATGATCGGAAGAGCACCACTGGATTTGTATTTTTCATTGGAGGCTCTGTTTTTACTTGGTCGTCGAAGAAGCAACCCATAGTGACGCTTTTCACATGTGAAGCTGAATATGTAGCCGCCACCTCATGTGTGTGTCATGATATACGGCTCTAAAATCTGTTGAAGACAGTGAACTTGGTGCAAGATAAACCCACCAAAATCTACGTCGACAACAAATCAGCATTGGCACTGGCGAAAAATCATGTCTTCCATGATAGAAGCAAGCACATTGACACCCGTTATCATTATATTAGAGAGTATATCGCAAAGAAGGAGGTGGAACTTCAGTATATCAAGTCTCATGATCAGATTGCAGACATCTTTACGAAGCCATTGAAACGAGAAGATTTTGAAAGGATTAGGAGCGCGCTCGGAGTCCCCAAAATCAAGTTTACGGGGGAGTGTTGAAAATTAAACTTGATTTTAGAAAATCTATTAAATAAATATTTTGGTATGATTATGAAAAATGTGATTAATAAGAAAGGTGTGTGAAATATGATTAATATGTTAGTGTGTGAAAATGTGATGGAATTGTAGTTTGGTGAGAGTTAGAAATGTGTAGAATATGTGTGGAAGAAAATTAGGTAAAAATGTGTTTAATAAGTGAGTTAGATATGTAGTTAGGTGTGGGTTTGTAGTATAAATATATGTGTTTGTATGGAGTTTGAAATCAAGAAAATTTGAAGAAAGAAAAACAAAGAAAGATTAAGAAAAAATATTCCTCTTCTTAAATCTTCAAGTTCTTTCTTCTTCCAAATATTTTCTAATCTCCTCCAAAATTCTAAACACTAAATAATCCTCCTCCCTCATCCCGATTAATCCTCCTCCCTAACCCTTCATGAATATTCAGGATTTTATTTATGATTCGATATTATTATTTTCGCATTTAGTTTTTAGATTCATAAATTTTGTATTGATTTTCTAATTCCTTTTAAATTCTGTTCATTTTATTTAGATTCGGTTATTATAATTATAAAAATACCTACTTTGAAAAAAATATTTTTTCCATTTTTTGGGGTATCTTCATATTTAATTTTAATTTAGTTTACATTAAATTACTTTAAATCCAATTGCTTTGATTGGATATGAATTTTAATCAATTATTAGGGGTCTCAAAATAAATCAATTATATATTTTTCTGATTCATTTCTTTGATTTTCTGAACAAAATATTCCTAACAATTCACATCACATGTCCAAATCTTTATTGGCCCATGGACCTCACCATTTTTTGACCCATCTCTCCACTTGCATGATCTCATCTCCATGAATTGGTGGCCCACCAGTGGTGGGGATATATATTTTTTTGGTAACGGTAAAATTTATTAAAGTAAAAAATGGGGATATAATTTAAAAAAAAACAAGCAAACAAAACTAATCAATTTGAATATCATCCAACATTAAAAAACCACTAATTTTGTTTTGATTTAAGTACAACAATTTCTCGAAATAAAAACAGATAAAACCCCGAAGATTATTTTAAATGTGATTTTTTTTCAAAATTAAATATACACCGAACCAAAAACTAAACGTAAATCGAATCAGATGGGATATTATTTAAACTAGTTTCCATATTATTTTCCCATCAAATAAATTTCATTAAAAAACTGAATTCTCCACTCCAATCGGTTCAATCTGATATATACACACACACACACACACACACACACACATATATATATATATATATATATATATACACACACACACATTTTCCCGAATTCCGTACAAAATAAGGTTTAGAAAATTCACAAATTTATTTACTTTAAATATTTGAATGTAAAATATCTATGTAAATATTGATTGGATTGTTTCCACCAAAACTTTAATCGATTTAGAGGTACGTTATATACGATTATACTGTTTTATTATTTCTATTTTTACGAACTGCGGAATTGGAATTTAATAAAAAAAAAATTCTAAATTAATGTTTATGGTCCTATGGTAGTTATTATGCGATAATCCCATATAAATAAACCAATTTTTTAAATATGTCAAATATTGAAATATAACAAAATAAAAATACCTCAACTTTCAATATCTCAATCTTTATGGAAAATTTCTTTCAATTTTAAAAGTTAATATATTTTTTGTCATATTTTAATATTTAGTTTATTTATTTGTCAAAAATGTGTATATTGTTTTGTATATTTTGTAAAGTTGGTACATATTACGAGATTTTTCCCATTTTACTGCCTCGTTTATGGAAGACTAGTTTTGTTGTCTATTTTGAAAATTATAAATCCCGATAAATTATTACAAAAATAATTTCATTTATTCTTACAAGTCAACAACATCACATGTTAGATTTAGGATATAATTTCGGCAATTCATATAAATTTTGTCTGTATATCGTAAAATTTCAATCATATTATTTGCTTTCTCCAACTAAAATTTAAAACTGGATCTGTTTGGACAAAATAATAATCACGAATCAATCAAAACCACTTTAATTAATCAATATTCGAATTTTCAAAAAAAAAAAATAGCAAAATGACGAAAATATATATAAACACAAAATACATATTTAAATTTAAAAAAAAATCAGAATAAACGAAAGGAAGTCGGCCACATCGTTTCGCACCTTTAAATACATTTTCTCCTTCGTCTTTGTCTCCGAGAAGCTGTCTCATCTTCCTCGCCTCTCCTCTTTGTCGGAGGCCCGAAATTAGGGCTTCCCTTTAGGATCCTCTCTACAACCTCTGAATTCTAAAGTTTCATGTCTCTGGATCCTCCCTGAACTTGTTCGGTAATCGTAATTTCTCAGTTTCTGTTCTGTCTTTTTCTTTCGGTTGTTGAGATTTTTAATGGATCTTTTGTCGGTGGATTTGCTTGCCGTTTCCTCTATTTTCGGTTTCCAATAGGGTTTCTCTGATCTGGGTTTTGATTTTTCTGCTTGTGTGAACTGGTATTGATTTGAAATTTTTGCTGAGATTTGATTGATTAAGGAACCTGTGAATTCGAGGTTAAGAAGCTGGAAACTTTGAACTTGCTTCCAGTTTAGGATCCTTTGATTAACGCCTATATACGGTTTTAATAGTTTTGGGTGACTAAGCTTTTTGGATATGAAGTCAATGAGTCTCTACTAAACTTCATTTGGTATGGGAAATGATTTAAAAGTTTAAAGGTCGATGGGCTGTTTGGTCGGGCAGAGGTTTCGTGTTGAATCGAATCCCTGTCATGGTTCACTTGGAAAATAAAGAATCCCCGTTTGTAGATTGTCATCGGTGGCCTGCCCGGTGGGTAGGTGAATCTATTACACATCCGAAAGCTTTGATTTTCCAATGCAATCATATATCACTCGGGGTATAGATGACATGGCGGGCGGATGGATTCCCGGGCGGAGAGAATACGATATAGCCCGTGAGCTAATGTTGAAGGAAATGGCTTTGCCCATGAACTGAATGCGCTCATTTTACTTATTTCACTCATTTGCCTTTGGTCTTGCTCCTTGTATCGGCTCTAGATCAACCCATGTCGATATTTTCCTGAATGTTGTAGGCTGATGTCTCTACTTCTGCTCCATATTGTCCCATGTAAATTCCTGTTTTATGTTACGAGACGTGCCTTGTTTACGATGTTTCTCTTCCCTTGGTTGTATGTTTGTTTTGTTTTATTAACTTAAGCTGCTTTTGTGATGCTGTTCTTGATCGAAATAGGATTTCGGATTGTAATTTGGCAAGTTTACTAATCTTGTGAAGAGAGTGATTTAGTCTTAACTATCGGTTTATGGATATCTATTAACAAATCTTGCTGACTTTAGAATCTTGATCCTATTTTGAATCTAGACCCTCTTGCAGCATTTTTATTGGTTGACGGTTGTTAGCTTTAAGGATTTCATTTTGAATCGAATAGCTTATGAGAAATTTTAACTCTCGCAGACTTAGCCCTTTAGTTGCATCCCGAAGACGAGGCAAGAGGCTCACAACTTCATCTGCTGTTTAAAGCTTCGAAATGCCGAAAGAGAGGAGAGATCGTTCCGTATCTCACGACAGATACAGAGGATCCCCGTTGCGTTGTGATTCTAGCCGTACTCTTCATGCTTCTCCGAAACCTACCGAGGAGAACATTAAGGAATGGGAAGATGCTCGGTGCTCTGTCTGCATGGAGCATCCTCACAATGCCGTCCTTCTCATATGTTCTTCTTACGAAAATGGTTGCCGGCCATACATGTGCGACACTAGCTACCGCCATTCTAACTGTTTGGACCAATTCCGCAAATCTTTCAAAGAGACACCGACATCATCAACAACCCAACAAGAGGAAGCTGATGGAGCAACTGCGGTACCGGATGTAGCTCCTGAATTAACCGACGTGAATCCGAGGGAAGGTGGGAGTGAAGCAGATACAGGTTCTAGTGGTGATCTGGAGAAAGCCAAGCCCGAGCTTACATGCCCGCTATGCCGTGGGCAAATAAAGGAGTGGGTCATTGAGGAGGCTGCTCGATGCTTCATGAACTCGAAGAAAAGGAGCTGTTCTTGCGAGACGTGCGATTTCAGTGGCACCTATTCTGATCTGAGAAAGCACGCAAGGATTCAGCACCCGACAGCTCGTCCATCAGAGGCCGACCCGGAAAGGCAGCGGAGTTGGAGGAGGTTAGAACGGCAGAGAGATTTGGGAGACCTGCTCAGCACTCTCCAATCTTCTTTCGGTGGAGAAGAAAGAGAAGATGATCATGGGATTCTGTCTTTCGACGACGGCGGGTGGCTTACCGTCTTTTTCCTCATCCGGGTGTTCAGACCGGGGTCAAGTAGTAGCCCACGGAGGAGTAGTAGTTGGTCAGGTACATCAAGAGCTAGGTCGCAAATAGGAACCAGGAGACGCTCTACTCGGCTTTGGGGTGAAAGCTACGAGGGAGAGAGCGGGCCGTCGTCTAGAAACGATGGGGACAATCTGTCTTCGGACGATGAATCCGGCTCTAGGAGGCGTCGTGTCAGAAGAAGAACGTTCGTGGAGGAGGACGAACCCTGACGATGAAGGCCTGAATCTCGGTACCGATCTTGTTGTCTTCTTCTTCCTCTGGGATTCGTAGGTAAGCTTCATAGTTGACGCATCACATCCATCAAACACGACAAAGCTGCCATCTTTTCTGCCTCGTGTTTGCTCAGGAATTGGCAGGGGGATATAGAGAGAGAGAGAGAGAGAGAGAGAGAGAGAATTGGAGGAGAAAGGTGAAAAGCTTTGTAGTGAAAACCGTTGGTGAAAGCTCTGTATTTGCTGAAACTTATGTATTGGTGTCGCAGCAGTAGCATCACTCGTCTGCTTTCCTTTTTCATTTCCCGAATTCAATAAATTTGTCGCTTGTATTTTTCGGTTTCCTGTTTTCTGGCGGCTCATTCAAATTCCGCTACCTCCCGGTGCCACGTCACTCAAAATTGGCAACAATTCGTGAAGTTAGGCTGGGGCAACATCCACTCATACCCTTCTAAAAAAAAATAAATCCAACTTCTATTATACCTCTTCGATACATAATGACTAAAATAACTTTAATATATTATATTATATAATTATTTTAATAAAAAAATATCCCTTCTAAAATGTAGGGTTTTTCTCTCTCCTCTCCTTTTCGGTTTTTCTCTCCTCTTTTTTTGAGTTTCTCTCTCCTACCACTCTCTTTCATCGAATCTGACCACTCTCTCTCCTGCACTTTCTCTCTCTCCTAATTTTTTCATCAAAATCGCTCGAAATCAAAACAAAATCAGTGAAAAATTAGTGAAGGGTTAGAAATAAATAATCAATTGCGAAAATCTTATTGTTTTTCATACACATTGATGGTTGTGGGTGTTATTTTGATGAAGAATGGTGTTTTTTCCATTTCTTTTCTTCTATTTGGTGATATTTGTGAAGTTGTCATTTGTTGTATGTTATTGTCATAGATCTGATTTGGATGGTACCAGATTCACATGGTCACATGGTACCATGTTCATATGGTCACATAGTACCAGGTTTACATGGTCACATGGTACCAGATTCACATGGTCACACAATCACATGATCTCCATAATAGTCGGATTGATAATAATGGTCACATGAGTTTAAATTAAATGGTCGAATGGTAATAATTATCACATGGTACTATGTTCATATGATCACATAGATAAGAATAGTGAGGAATGGTAATAATGGTCACATGATACTATATTCATATGGTCATATGGTCACTGTGTCCAGAATAGTCGAATTGATATGCATTTTGTATTTATGTTTTCTATAACTATTATAGACGGACGAGATGAGAGATCGACAATTGTATATTTTTTGTATGATGGTAAATGGATAGTGAATAAGAATAGAGAATATGAATGAGAAGGAAATGTGATGAAAAACCAAAGAGTGTTGGAAGTTACTAGATTCGGCTGTAATTGGAAGTTGCGTACGACATTGATTTTAAATTCGAAATGTTGGAGTGTAAGAAAACACAATCTCTTGCATAGTTATAAACCCGTATCAGAATCAAGTAAAGCTATGAGGGGTACAAAAAAATTGGAAGACAAACGAAAAAGTGGAAGACCTAAACAAAACCGCTTTTCAGGTCCTAGTGAAGTCCGAAAGCGGATCCACGTCGCAACAGGAATATCAACATCAACAAAGTTTGAGAGAAACCCTAATTTTGAATGAATAAAGAAATATAAATTGTATAATAATGTTATATTATATCTGTACACTAAAACATTAAGACCTTTGTATAATAATGTATTAAAATAATGCATTATAATACTTTGGTTCCATTCTACATATTAAAAAACAATAAATAATTTATCTCATATGAGTAGTAGTTGGGTCCCATGTGACCAACATGTGACCAATGTGACCAATGTGCAATTTTACACTATGTAACCATTGTGACCGGATGTGACCTGTGACCAAGTGACGAAGGTAAATACATGTGGAAACGTACTTTTCAAGCTTTAGTCTATTATTATAAGGTATAAAAAACACAAATATTATGTTGATGACAAAATTACAAAACATTAAAATGAGTTTGTAATGTAAAAAGACCAAAATTGTCAAAATTCTTCATAAAAGACTATGAACACTAATGTATCACATTTGTGAGAACTACTTTTGCACACAAAATTCGAATAACTCAATTATTATAGTTAAATATAGTTCAAAATGGTGCATATGGAAGATGTGATGACAATCAGATCGATTCATTTGAAAGAATCCACTAAATCGACCCTTGTGACCAACTGTGACCCATTGTGACCGAAATATTGTGGGTCCCAGTTTGAACCGTAATATTTCTGGTGGGCCCAGTATAATCCAAGTGTACAAAAAAGTTACGGTTGGCAATTCTTCCCTGATTTTGGTGGGACCCAATATTTTCAACCCATATTTTTTAGTATCCAATATTTTTTAACCCAAATTTTTTTCCCTCCAAAATTTTTCAACCTAAAATTTTTACCTTCCAATATTTTTCATCCCATATGTTCAGATATAAAATAAACATAAAACATAATATCATAACATAAAATTATGTAGATTTATAATAAACAAACAAAAGGTCATAACAAAAAAAAAGGGAAAATGGCAAATAAATACATCAATTTGTTAATTTCTTACTCATAAATACATGAACTTGTAATCTCCCAACAAAATACATCAATTCGCAATTTTCTGGCAAATTAGTACATAGACACTAACAACGTTAACTTTGTAACAGTTTCCGGTGAACGGTGCTGACGTGGCTCGCCGGATTTTCCACGTCAGCGCCACATGTCAAACATTTTTCCATGTCATTAAAAAATTAAAATTAAAATTAAAATCATTTAAAATAAAAATAATTTTAAAAAAATTAAAAATCAAAATTTATAAAAATTACAAAATTAAAAATTTTGAAAAAATAAAATTTTAAATTAAATTAAAAAAATTCAAAATTAAAATTTAAAAAGAAATATTAAAAAAATAATACTTTAAATTTCAAAACTAAAATATATACACACATATATACATAAATTTACATAAATATATATAAACATATATACACACATAAATATGTATATATATATATATATACATTTTTGTAAATTTATATATATATATATATATAAATTTATGTATATATATGTGTATACATTTTAGTTTTGAAATTTAAAGTTTTACTTTTTTAATATTTCTTTTAAATTTGAATTTTGAATTTTTTGAATTTAATTTAAAATTTATTTTTTCAAATTTGTAATTTTGTAATTTTTATAAATTTTAAAATTTATTTTTTTTTGAAATTATTTTTATTTTAAATGAATTTAATTTTAATTTTAATTTTTTAATGACGTGGAAAAATGTTTGACATGTGACGCTGACGTGGAAAATCCGGCGAGCCACGTCAGCACTGTTCACCGGAAACTGTTACAAAGTTAACGGTGTTAGTGTATGTGTACTAATTTGCCAGAAAATTGCGAATTGATGTATTTTGTTGGAAGATTACAAGTTCATGTATTTATGAGTAAGAAATTAACAAATTGATGTATTTATTTGCCATTTTCCCCAAAAAAAAATAATAAGTTCATAACATAAATAAGTTTTTTAGTCTACTTCTCAACACTTCCATTGACAAATATGGCGGTTGCAAGGAGACAAACCGTGGGAATGAGATGACTTAACTTCTGAACTACCTTTTCCACATTTTCCTTTAGTCTTGATTGACAATCATAAACTTGGAGCACCTTCTCATTGAAATCCACTTTAATGTTGTTCTTGCATACCCAAGTGGATTTTTTCCACCACCTTATTAGCAGTTATAAACTTGGAGCACTTCATATATTATCTCCTCAATGTGCTACAAAAAAAATATGTCAACATTCTGGATCATGTCACCATATGACCGTGTGATATGGTACCATGTGACCGAGTGACATGGTACCATGTGACCGAGTGAACATGGTACCATGTGACCGAGTGAACATGGTAATGTGTGACCAAATGAACATGGTACAGTGTGACCGAGTGACATGATATATGTGATTGTGTAACTTGTGACATGTGACCATGTGACCAAATAGGATAAACTCTCATGTGACCGTGTAACATGGTACCATGTGACCAAATTAGCATAGTACCATGTGATCATATGTTACCAAGTCACCGTGAAACTTGTGACCAAGTGACCTAAGACCATATAACCAAGTCACCTGTGACCATGTGACCTACTATCCTGTGAACTGTAACCATGTCACTTGTGACTTGTGACCATGTCACTTGTGACCTGTGACCATATGACTAAACCGATCATGTGACCTGTGACGATGCCACCCAAATCACTCTGTAACCTGTTACCACGTAACTTAAATCAGCCTGTGACATGTGACTTTTTCACCTTGTGATCATACAATTATGTGATATAAATTACATCGAACTCTATCACCTATATGAGTGTGATCCAAATTAACATATTATTCATCATCCAAATATCGATCCATACATCTATGTGACTCAAATCAACTCGATTTTAACCATTTCACATCACAATCGATTATTTGACTTCAATCCCAATATTTTCTTTTGAAATCCAAAAAAATTCGAAAACATAACCCTACATTTCTATCCATCAAATCCTCATGCCCACACTTAAAGTCAACATAAAAAAATTTCAAAATCTAGCAAACTTGAGAAAAAAGAAGTAACCCACCCAATGATCGTTTAACTCATTAATTTGTATTCGGTTCTCGATCTCGTCCGAAGATGTCGATGAAGATGATTATTGGGCTGATGTAGAAGTCTTTTTTTTCGTTTGCAACGTCACTTCTTATTTGAATCGCAGGAGAGTTTAATAGATAGCGAGAGATTCAACTTCTCCAAATTTTGGGTAAAGATTCATCGATTTTGGAAGAGAGAGAGAAAGAACATATAGCAAAAGGTAGGAGAGAGAAAGATTTTCAGAACTGTGGTTAATGATGTTGTAATGTGTTTGTACAATGTAGTATTAAAACCTTTAAATAATATTGTATTTGTACCATACTAAGGTTGTATTATTGAAGATGAAATTTTGCATATATCTGATTCGTATTACACACTAAATAAATTGACTCAAACGAACCAACGTTGTGACCCATTGTGACCGGCATGTGACCATGTGACCGAAGTGCAATTTTATACTATGTGACCACTATGACCGACTGTGACCCGTGACCGAAATGTGTTGATAAATATAGGCCAAAATTTAATTTTAAAGTTTCGGGGTAGTTTATTAGAGTCTATATATCAAATATATATTGTTTGAGAGAGAATTTCAAAATATTTTAAGGGGATTGTTGAAGAAATATACCAAATTTGTCAAAAATACTCATAAAACATTATGAAACATATAGGAACA